GCCAAGTAACGTGCATTTTATTTATAGGTTATTGTAACGGCAAAGCGTTGCTTTTGTTTGAGATTACGTATGCTGTAACGTGTTCTTTTTCCTTGAAAACACCGAGAAACGTCCTTTGTTACATTTTTTTCTTTATACCTACAACAATTAAAATCACCGTGTTACGCCCGTTTTCCATTGTGCGATTGATGCGATTCTGTTCCATGATTTTCCAGATGTCAATCACAACGTCGCTCGTCAAAAAGAAAAAGGAAACAAAAAAAATCTTGGACCGCGTTTGAAGTCTGTATTGTGTCCATGGGGCTTCTGATAGATGGAACCGAAAATCAGAAGCAATATCACACCATGTTAGTCAGTTGTGAAGGTTGGAACATATGGGCAAAAAATCACACCGATAACACACGATAATCGTTACTTTAATCATTAGTTCTACAATATTTTTGGTAAATCAATCCAATCGAGGATATTAGCTGCAGGAACACTGGGCGCGTGGTTTTACTGAGACTATATTTGCAGTTTGTAATAAATATGCTTCATTTTCGAAAAGTGCGTAAAATGATTGTAGCATTTTCCGGTTTTCGAGCAATCATAATAGTTTGCAAGCATAACATTTGAAGCTTGGACACTTAGCAAAGATCAACCGAAAACACAGACGTTAATTTGAATATGAGAATGAAAGTTCCATACAGTTATTATAAATACACAATAAGGGTGTTTACTTCCATTACGAACGACCAGGCCTTAAACGCGGCGGCTTGAACGGCCTCTGCCTGTAAGATGCCACACAGAGCTTTCGGTTAGATTTACTATATCTTGGATTTTGCGCTGCCTTTTGTTCCCGGACAATTTATTTTGTTTTCCAGTATTTTCCAAAGAAACAAATAAGTGCATGTCGGACGTTACGCCTAGCAATCCCACTAGCGTACCGTCATACAAAATACATTATTCGGCCAACATATTCTTCAGTAAAACCAGTTTTGATTTCATGGAGCACTGACCGTACTGCAATCACCTACAGTAGTTCCAACGTTTTGGAGTAACGACGTGCAGCTAGCAAGCTCACCATCTTTGCTGCGCTCCAGATAGTCTTTTTTTATAGCACACCCGTGAGTTTATAGCAGGCTTCAGGGAATTCGTTTTATGAACATGCAAACCCTTTTCTTTTAGAGCGCAGCTCTTAGGGGCCCGTTCCCGGCTTGAGCGGCGTCGCCGTCGCCGTCGCCGTCGCCGTCGGCGTCGCCGTCGGCGTAACCAAGGTCATCCCAAGGTCACGTGACCCCCAAGGTCACGTGACCCCTCCAGGTCACGTGACCCCTCCCAAGGTCATCTCAAGGTCACGTGACCCCACGTGACTCCCAAGGTCACGTGACCCCTCGAGGTCACGTGACCCCTCTCAAGGTCATATCAAGGTCACGTGACCCCAAGACCCCACGTGACCCTTTGAAGGTCACGTGACCCCCGTCACGTGACCCCTCTGAGGTCACGTGACCCCCGAGGTCACGTGGTCTCCTCCCCAAGGTCACGTGACCCCCAAGGTCACGTGACCCCTCCCAAGGTCATTTCAAGGTCACGTGACCCCAAGGTGACCCCCACGTGACCCCCAGGTCACGTGACCCCTCTGAGGTCACGTGACCCCTCTGAGGTCACGTGACCCCCCGAGGTCACGTGACCCCCGTCCCCGAAGTCACGTGACACCCCCCCCCCCGAGGTCACGTGACCGCCCCCCCGGAGCATATTAAAGAATGAGGGGAGGAGGAGGGGTCTACCCTCCCCTCAGTACCCTTCACTCCTCCTCCTCAAGAGCTGCGCTCCAATTCGGCGTTACAGGGATTTGTAAACGGCTTTCACTTTTTATTCATTTTTTCAACATTACCTCAGATTGTCTAACAACTTGTAGATAGCAACTACTGTAGATATATAGAGAAAGGTATGAACCAAAAGAAATAAATGTGTGGGCCTGTTTCTTTTATATCACCCTGTTCTCACAGTTCACTTGCCTTCCTTTTTTATGTGCTGTATCCACGATCCAACTGACTGAGCTCCAACCCGCTTCGGGAACTGATGAATTACTCCTGATTTTATTGCTTTTCGTTGTATCTTGATTGTTATTTTTTATGTGCCACTTCAGCTTTTGTTTTACCTGTAATATCAGGGGCGCTATTTGATAACTAATACAGACAGGCGGAGGCAGCTGTTGAACCCCAAAAAATAAAATGAAGGTAGAAGAGCGCATTAAACTCGTACAGTTCCTGGTGCCCTTCGTTGCTACTTTCTGAAGGCTCCCAGCAGACTTCTAGTTTACTAGTGTCAATAAAAACTACATGACTCTTCCGCGTGTCCAACTGTGTATTATCGTATGTCCTTGTATTTAAACTCTTCCGTGTGTCCGTATTGTGACGTAGGCGCCCGTATTGAAGGACTGGCCAATTACGGAGGGCGCTTTGTCGCCGTCGACGATCACGTGCCCTTTGTGTGCTTGCTGGTGCTTGACGAACAATCACCGTCTCTACGTCGGCACCGCCGGTGGCGCCGAGCTCGGGATTGGCCGGGTTACGCTGCTGCCGTCTTACTGCAGAGACTTTTCTGCGCCATGTCGCGTCTCTTTCGTCGGAACTTTCTGTCTGTACCCGCTTTTGTGCGCGACATATTTTTTGTGTGTATGTGCGTGATGAAGTCTTGTTTTGCCGACGACTGCTCAACTTTTCCGCGCTTGGTCGAGCCGAGCGTGTAGACGAAGTACCCGTCGAGACCGAAGTAAGGTTTTTCGGCGCCGCTTTTTTGTTCGCCAAGTTGCGTCGCAAACTCGCGGTCGTGTGAGCTTCCCTCGGGAAAGTTTCGTTTTGTCGGCGTGAAAATGCTGTGCTCACCATGTGCTCCAATGACGCCACCACCATGCTGCCTCACCGGACTCCGCCGACTCGACTGCTAGCGTGCATTAATGAAGGATGCCTACTGAAACCACGTCTTCAAAGAAGTATTTATTCTTCTGTCAAAATATGATGTTCTAGGCAAGTCTTGTAGCTTGCGATCAGTCGCGTGATAAATAAGGTAGGCAATGACTGCCTGGTCCTACCAATGTCGCACACTTGGTCTTCTTGTGTCAAAGTCACAATCGTGCACTGCCGTCACCCTCTTAAGGCCCGTTCTCTCACTTACGACTTCTTAAGACCGTGAGCCTTGGAACCTCTTAATAGCTCTTACGACGAGAGTAGAGTTCCTGTATAGGCTCCCTACGGGAGCCAGATTTGCGCGCCTGTTTTCCACGTGCCGCCGCGCCGCTACTCGCCGAGATCCGATCACGTGAGGAACCGGATCAAATGCTGTGCAAAAAAGTACACGTTGCACGCTTCCCGGCATTCCGCCAGCGTCCTGAGGCGCCCCTGCTTTTAAGCGCCCCACGCGCCTCTAGAGGCCCGTTCACACTCTTGCGACTTTTAAACCTGGGTTCCTTAAAACTTCTTAAACCAGAGAACACACTGGCGCCATCTAATGGGAAGCAGTGTAAACTCGGCGGTCCGGCATATTTTTTTTTTATTTCGCGCGGATTATCCTTTCTTTCTTGGCTCGAAAAACTTTTGTCAATGTTATAAACGAGCCTTTCTATGGGTATTACGCACTTTTGACCTCGGAAATCCCGCAAAACCTTCGCTCTTGTGAAATGCAGTTCCAGCGTCACCGCATAGATGGCGCCACAATGCCAGTGTGTTCCCTCATTCTAAAAAACATTTAAGAAGTTTTAAGAGATCTCGTCTCTCTCAGTCGTACTCGGTCGCAAGAGTGTGAACGGGCCTTGACGCGCGGCGCCGATATTCGCCGAATCCAGTCATGTAGGGAGCGGGATCAACATATACCGTGCAGGAAAGACGGCGCTACGGGGATGAACGCGCAACTCTAGCTCTAGCAGGGAGCCTATACCGGAACTCTAGGTGAGAGTACACGCTTCCGCCATCTATTGGGTAGCAGCGAAAACTTGGTGGTCCCGCGTATTTTATATTGCTCTCGCGCATCATGCTTTCTTTCTTGGCTCGGAAAACCTTTGTCAACGTCACAAACGTCCACTTCTCAAAGGTATTGTGCACATTTGATCTCAGAAATCCCGCAAAACCTTCGCTCAAGTCAATTGCAGTTCCAGGGTCACCACATATATGGTGCCAGCGTGCCAGTGTGTAATCTCGTTCAAAAATTCTAAGAGGTTTCAAGGCAGTCAGTTCTAAGTGGTCGCAAGTGTGTGAACGGGCCTTTAGTTTCGGCGACGCGAATTAGAACACTTCCGTTACTCCTCTCTGTTTCGTGCAAAGTAGTGAAGGAACTCTTGCGGCCTCGCGGCGATATCCTTACGTTCGATCGTCACCGAGCTTCGCGCCTGGAATGGATAGACCTTGCCATTGTCGCGACGACGCGCAGCAGACGCACTTTTAGCGGCCGCAATAAACCCGTGGCCGCGAAGTTCCTCCGTCAGTGCCTACCGCGCTAAGTATACTCTCCCTTCTTCGTCCATATTCTAAATACGCCCATGTTTTCTATGCGGCCGTCCAAACCAAGAGCTAAGCCTCCGCACCATATACGTTCGCCGGGTTACGCATTTTTTTTACGTGTTGCGGCACAGATACTTTTGATACGCGTCGATCTGGACGGTGCTACAGCGACATGTATGTAATTTCTGGCGTCATCTTCCGATAGGCCCATTGAGAGGACTCCGTCCGGACTACGTCTGCTGCATCTGAATGGACATCCGAGGAAAAGTTTGATATGTCTATGTAGAGTCGTTCATTTTCTCGGGTCTTTTCACGCCGGAAGTTCCTCTGTACGCACCCTATATAAGACTTACCAAAGATAACGTAAGCGGGTAGATGGAGCCAAACATCATTTGAGTGCACAACGATTGGCTTCGCTATATGTCTCGTGCTTGTGTTCTCTATCATATTTTGGGAGATCTTGTTTTAAAAGTGCTAAACATTTTTGGTGCTTTGTCGCTGACGTTCTATATTTGGTGTTTATAGGTGGTGGAGTACGTATTGAACAGCATAAATGACACCCGCATTCAGGGTTTCCGACTCGGCATCTGCTTTATAGCAGAGTGCAGCCAAGCCGACATTCAGTCTCTCCTTGATTCGGGTGAGTTACAAACCGATATCGTGTTCTTTCTTATTCAACAAATATTTTGCAAAACTTCTGTCCAACCCAAGTACCCGTTCATGCAATAGTGTGGCTCTAATGAGATTTGTCCTTTGCCTTCAGTGGCTGGCGGAGTAATCGACCTCCAGGTCAAGGATTGCGTCACCAACGAGTACCCACCCATCAGCAAGACACAAATCGGAATAATGTACGTAACCGGATAACGTCACTCCGTTCTGATTTTTAAGTCACACCCTAAAAATTGACTGCTGTTATTAATTGCGTTCTATGCACATATTGACAAAACACTTTGTGCTGAACTGTAGAAAATGAGGCTTGTTTTGAAATAGTAATAAATGTAATTTAAAACAACTCTCAATATAAAGTTCGAAACCGGTACTGAATTATATGGGAGCAAACGTTCTGAAGCAAACTCATTTTAAAGTATATAAATAATGTATTATTTATTCACCCAGTGATGAGATTATGAAAACTAACGATCCACAAAAAGTAGCCCAACTCCGCTTTTTCGTAATATTATTTAAACAGCCGTTCAAGTTTTATGAATATCAATAAAAAGTATGTATAGGAAGAATCTAAACAAAAGTACCTGAATAGTATATCTTAAGACGAGAAAGAAGCAAGGACCAATATCTGCAATATTTGTTAGTTGTGCTTCGTTCTATTTAGTAATACCTTACGCTAAAAGAATAACGAACACCCATCTAGGACACTTTTTAAAATTTATTCAGCGTCAGTTATCGTTAAGCCCACACGCTCCTGCGTTCTCTTTGTCATTATCTATAAATATTTTGTTTTTATAAGGCGTGCTTCTCTGAAGATTCTCTAAAAATCTCTAAAAAGTTCATCTTAATTAAATCATATAATTTTTAAAAGTAAATGTCTAAAGAGTTTATCTTTATTTAGCACCAACATGTGAAAAAGAACAAATCAAGCCAGATCACGCAACATAGTTGATGCGGTACGCTAGGCTTAAGTCAGTCCCGCTGCGATCCCAAGCACACGCACATGTGCGTTCGAAGACTCGTACTTGCGACAGTTGTTTGTTGTAAACGAGGGCGGCTGAGGAGGTCTTTCTCTAAACAGCTCGGTGAACGTAAAATAACTCCCACTCGTAAAATTTAAAAAAAAAAAAAAAAAAAAAAAACTCAAGGAGCCAGGTTTGTTGAGCGAGCACCGCCGGCAGCCATGTTTGTAATCATTTCAAACCATGCAGGTAGGAATAAGAGAAAGCGACATACCGGCTCAAACGAGAAAAACAAAATAGAGAATCCAAAGTGAATCCGGAAATTCAGGTCGTGGAGGGTGCGAGCGCGCCCCAAGGGTGCCCAAGTTTGTCCAACAGAATCTTTTAAAATTGGCCATCGTTCGTGCCGTGTCCCTCCAAACCGGAGATTTCGCTCGGCTTCACCACTGGTGTCGTCATGTCGCCTCCAGAAGCTTCCTACCTCATGTTTGAAACCGAAGCGGAAAAGAAATCTCGGGAGATCTTTGAAAACAATAATGACTCTATAAAGGTTATTTGTTGCTGAAACATAAAACGCTTGTCGATAAAAATACCATTATGGCCCGCAGAAATAATTTTACAATGAACATTTCGCACGCCGATCATTATTCCAACCAATCAGAGCAGAGAAAAGGTGCCTAGTTTCCTAAGCACACTCGGGGCCTAGTGCAAAGGTACCCTTCCCCCTAAATTGCGTATAACGGCGTAAATGATTATATTTTTAGTCTTCGTATAAAAATTATTACAAAAAAACTATGTGTGACAATTAGAGCCTTACAATTTTTTTAAGTTCAGTGTTTTCTTAACATTTATAATGCCTATATTCACGTCTTATTGCTAGTTCTCTCCTAACAAAAAAGACTGCTAATTAGCCATGCCTATATATCTATGTGCCTAAACCTTGTGTAAGGCAGTCATTCGTATTCGCTGAAAAAAATAAAACTTACCTCCGCAAAAAATGTGTACGGTCGAAAATAATGCATTGATGTAAAATATTAATTGTGAACCATGTAATGGTTTATAAAGGAAGTGGCTACTCCTAGCAATTTGATCGTCGTGTGCTCGCGCATACCTGATGGCCCATGACGCGATGTCACACGACATCGCGTGACGGCACTGCGTCGCGTGGCAGTCTGTCACGTCATTTGACGTAACCTGATGTGCCCTGGCGGTCACGTGAGTTCACCACCTTTCATGACGTCAGGTTAAGTAGCCGAAATGACACAATAACGTCACCTGTCGTGTCGTTCATTTTAAACAAGTTTTAACAATTGGTCCTTAGCTTGTGCATCAAATGCATTATAGGACTTAGCAAATAAAGGCCACTTCCGATTTTCGAGTAAGTTATATGCGCAGTACACAAAGTTCCCCATCCTATTACCAAGCAATTGACTTCAAGATCTAAAAAAGAAAATCTTCTGGGAATTATGATTATAATTGTGAGTTAAAACAAAAGCGCCAAACATTAAAACAATGACACCTGCTTGTTGGCTCCTGATTCCTTGTATTAATTTTAAGAACCCTGTATCGTTTGTGCACCTTCCTAATTAAAGTCGAACAATTCAATTGCAGAGCTTTCCTAGGAAGCGTGCTCTTACTACTGTGTGTAAGCAGCGGAATCGACATCTACTTAAAGAGGCGAAGTGTGGGGAAGAGCCAGCAACGAGGTCAGTATTACTTTTGATTATAATATTTCAAAGGTTTATGTTAAATTCGCCAAACACTTTAGTGCCGGCAAATAAATTACATTTGTAGTGGTTTCCGACAAACCAGTTGTTACGCAACTTCAGAATTTTTTTTTTTTTTTAAGCGATAGATTTATAAATGTTTGGTCGCAGAAACGCCGAGGTTGGCGTCGGTGGGACAAGAAAATCCTGATCAGTCAACATGACCTCGAGCAGGAATTTTAAACAATCCACAACGCTCACGTGAAATGTGACCTCACGCGTCGAATTAAATGATGAAACAAAGTATGTATTGCGAATTAAATGTCTCCGCATGTCTCAAATTATTCTTAAGGTCTTACATAAAATGTAAGACCTTTAGAAGGAGGCGGGAGTCGAATTCACGACTCTTCTGTTGAGAGCCAGACCAATAACACCTGGAATACAAGGCCAGCTCATGACGCCCCAATCGGGAAACATCCCGAAGTGTGACGAGAGTATCGGCCACGTCAAAACTGCGTCAAGTTCGCTGGCGGCCGCAGTTCTGTGCGCGACTGCTGAGCGCGAGATGATAGCGAGCTTCATCACTTCATTTGTAACCTTCATGCGACACCATCAAGATTGCAGGTCTTAACAGCCTATTAATGTAAGATCGTTATGAGCATACCCAGTCTGGCTAATTAAGTGATGTCACCTAAGGTGAAGTCACGATGACAAGTTATAATTTTGGCTGGACTAACTTCATGTGGCACAATGGCACTTTATGGCTTAGCCACGTGACCTCACATCATATAACGTGGTAACGTGCCGTCATAATGCCAAATCGTGGTGTGACGTGATTCACGTCACGAACGTGTCACGTGATGAATTGACGTCACTTGCCAATACGACTCGCACCGTGGCTGGCGTGACTCCTAGAAACCAAGTGACCTTACGTGACGTATCGTCAGGTCACGCGACGTTATACACAGACCACAAAAAACACAAGATTTGTGTTAGGCTCGGTTGGAATACAATTCTGCATTTACAATCCTTTGCCATTGCGGCTAAGTGTCTCAGCAATATTGGCGGTCATGTCGTACAAAATAAAAATTATTAAGACACTTCCGAATCTGCACTACACACGCAAAAATTACAATTATTTCGCTTCGTTAGCACAAATTCTTTTTTCATAGGTGCTTTTTTTTAAAGATTGTTTTGTGAATCTGGGGGCCTCTGGCTGGTTTGGTAACTCGTGAACTACAGTCCCCAAAAAAGGATAAATCCCAATTTACCAAACATAAAACTGGACTAACTTACCACTCTAAAAATGTAGTCGTAAAATACGTACAGAGCGCGACATTGTTAGCGCGAACAAGCAATCACAGGTTTTTCCAGTTTTTGTCTTTGAAACCAAGGGATGTCATCCAAGTTGTTATTGCTAAGGAAAAAACGCTCATTTAGTTCTATAATGTAACCGATAAAAGTTTGTGCTCAGTAATACTATTCAGAAGTAAAATACTAAAATGCCCCGATGTCGTGTTCGCGCTAACAGTGTCGGGATGTGTACATATCGGCGAAAACATTTATAAAGGTATGTCTCAATCGTAAACCCCACGTAGATTCATGGTGCGTGCTAAATTCTACTAAAGACTTTACTATTGTATTCTCCATTTAGAATCCTCACGAAGTACAAATACCCGGCACTATTCTGCCCATAAAACCACTTAACCTTCCAATAATCCACTTAATTTTTTTCTTTCAAGGGGTGTCGGACGGTACACTCTGTTCTTCTTACCACGGAAACGTGTTTTCATTTTGTACCTGCGCAGGCGCCTTGATGACAGCTCTAACCGTATATTCCGTGCCGGCGAACACAAGTCTCATGATGGCCGTCTCTCATGACCGGACATCGGAGGCCTATGCGTACAGATTTCTTCATGGAATCCGATTTATCGCCATGTTCTCAGTGGTGCTGGGTCATTCCTACAGCGCTTTCGATTTCCTCAACATCTGTAAGTAAATTGAATGACAAAAAGGGAATGCGGATTGCGTCCACGCGTGCTTCGTAGACTTTCAGAATACCGTCTTGCTGAAGACTCGTAGAATGTTCAAGCCTTCTCGGGCATCTACCTCTCCGCAATGCATGTAGAGGCCTATGAATGAATTTAATAGAAGGATAGCAGCAAATTACGAAGCGCAGATAGCGTTCGAGCTAGGAAATACAATTTTTGCTGAGATCTAATCTTGAATTTGATCCTTATTCATTAGCTGGCCTCTTTTCCGTAAATGTCAGTGGACGGTTGTTTTCTAACTAATAGCGGACCTGCAGGATCTGTTCTTATAAAAAAAATGTCGTATTATCTTTGAGACCTTGCGTAATCCTAGTGTGACCATTCATTGTTTTCTTATAGCATGAGCTATTCTGATGCTACAAAAGTAAAATGTACTTTACAAGGTATGAATAAATAACTTTGACAACAATTTCGCTTATTTATCCACAGATACACTTAAAAACGTTTTACAGAGCACTCTCCTTGCTTGTCAAATCTTGTATAGTTAGTTTGTTATACATATATTGTCTTTCATTGCTAAGGTATTTTTAGCGCGTACATGTATGAACTGATCCGATCTTAACTGGAGTTGAATGTGCCATTGACCACCTGCCTACTAAGTCTAGTCCGGGTTCAGATGGCATTTCTACCAAGGTATTTAAATGAATAAAACAAATATCTGGTCATCACCTTGGAAGGCTGTCTCACCAATCGCTAACCACCAATCAATCACCGGATGATTGAAAAGAAAAATTCACGAGGCGTTTCTATATTCAAATTTGATAATTAAAAAAACGGAAAAAACGACGGACCAGATGAAGAAATACAGAGACAGAGTGCTAACTCACAACAAAATTTCATTGATTGAAACAGCGGTATATATATATATAACACCGCAGTCAGAGATACAAAAGAAAGGAAGAATAAGCCTATAAAAGACTGATCCCTACAAAAGAAACAAGTCGTAAAAATTAATGCTGGACACACAGCTCAAGCCATAGTGCAAGGAAAGCAATCTCTTCATGAAAGGGCAATTGAAGGACGGCTGACACAGGCATCATCTATTTTTGCTATTTCTAAAGCCTGAAGAATTTGATGTGTCTTCTGGTCATGGTGACGTTTTACAACCTCACTTCTTTGAATCCCCGGCACACAGCGATAGTCACGGCAATGTGTGCCAAGGTGGCCGGATACCATCAAGGACGTATTGCAAGCATGCTTTCTTAGCCTGTCATTAAAACAGTGGCCTGTGTGGCCCACATTACGCTTGCTGCATGACAAAGGAAGTGAAAAATTCACAGGGCCTCTTATGTTCTCCCGAAGGCAACTTGAAGGCCGAAAGCCCAAGCGCCGATCCCGGTGATAGCAAACCTCCGAAGACATGGCGCTCTCTACCGACGCACGTTTGGCGCCGTTAACCTCAAGCCGTGTCACACGCCCGCTCTTCACCGCTGCCCGAGCTAAAGTTCCATAATAAGAGTTTCCTACATGTAGGAAAAATATTCTTTGATGCGCCGAATCCGTGACGGCGCAGGTTTTAAGGAGCGCATGGCGGCGCACAGCAGAGGTTTTGAACTGGTACCTTTCGGGTCGCCGACGTGTTTTCGATCTAGGACTGAACGATAAGGCATATAAGGCTTTCGCCTTAATAGACAAACCTTTCAGCTAAAGTGACAAAATCATCACGATTTTTCGTCTCGTAAGTTCTAGCATCCATTACAGAGAAATTGACGGCTCCGCAGAACCTTTTATTTTAATGCGTCGATGACTCAAGTTTACGAAAATTTAGGATGTGAATTTCGCCACTCGTGAACTGCCTGAAACTGGTTGTATAAGATTTTTAGATTTAATAATAACTCTGCGTTCAAGCCACATATGTTGCGCTTACAAACCACGCGCTGGCAAGCCTCTGTTGCCCTTTTGAGTCAGCGCGCTCAAAACTTGTAAAGCGGGCGGTTGCAAGGTCCTGCTCTACACATGCTCTTCGGAAGTCTCGCTCCCACAAAATTCAACCTAGCTTCGATAAGCAGATTGAACTCCTCACAGCCGCTGGATACCTCTTCCACGTGCAGTTTCCAAGTTTCTGATCATTGAAATAAACATTGGGCTTTTGACGTGTTCAAATACTTCCAAAGAAAGCACAGATAAACAGTTTGTTGTTATTTCGCATATTCACGGTTTGGCGCACAACCTCAAAGTATCGCAGAAAGCTGTGATGTGGACGTGTTGTTCTCCGCTCCCGACAAACTGTCAATGCTGTGCAGAGTTGTCAATCTTTCTGCCGGGGCTGCTAGCACTTGGAAGACGAACCATCAAGATCATTGCGTCACTTGTACTAAACAGGTTGTTTATTAACTTACCTTTTCATGCGGCAAGCGTTATATGGGCCAGAAGGGCCGCTGTCTTAATGGCAGGCTAAAATAGCATGCTTCAAATGTATCCTTGGTGATATCTGGTCACGGCAGCATTTATTCCAGTGCTTGTCGCAACGTTAACACAGATGTTCGGGCGAGTTGGTTGCTCAAGATGTACAGGGGGAACAGCGAACCTCCAAAACAGTCACTCGAGTCAACGCACACACAAAAGAAATACACAGCGCTGAATGACAACTCTCGGGTATACTAAGACTTTCTTCTCTTCTTCTGCTTGTATTATAGGTTACGGCCAGGGAGATAACTGGTCTTTTTTCTTTTCTTTCGATATGAAGCTAAATGTAAAGCTATCTAAATTGAAATTATTGTAAGGCTATGCAGTCTAATTCTTTTTGTGATAAGGTCAAAGACTGAGTGCCAACACATTTGTCGATATGTTTTGCTATACTGTCCGCCTGGTTGTGATGCTTGCCAAGCACGGCACAGTTACTCAGCAGCTCTGAGCAGCCACAGTCTCGACAGTGAATGCCTAAATGTCCGGAGTTTTTGTTGGTGAATGTGTTCTTATGCTCAATAAGGCGATCGTTAAGACACCTTCCGGTCTGGCCTATACAAAGTTTTCCACAAGAGAGGGGAAATTAGTGCACCACCTTTTTTGTACAAAAAAACAAAGGTGTTTTTATGCTTCATTTTGCAGCCGACAGTTTTAATTGGTATGGGTATTTACTTGTTTTGCACAAGCAGCCAAGTTTTTCAGGAGCTGAGAGGATGACTTCCAAGTTTAGTCGGTGAGCTATTTTCTTCAGTCCGTAAGAAAATTATGAATATATGGCACAATGATGGGTTTCTTTGTTTTGTCTCTTTGCTTTTGTTGAGTGCAAACGTCTTGCTGCTTTCGTTGATGAGCTTTTCGGCCATTGATGCTAAAACGGGATTGGGTATCCTGCGCGCTTCAGTCGCGAGACTTCCCCGTCAAAGCACGTTGGGATGGAATGCGAGCAAGGTTTTGTGAGTGAGTTTTTGAGGCATAACCAGACGATGCTCCTTTTAACAAGTTTTGAATCGACCGAGTTGAGTGGTAATAGCGTTTTTTTTTTCCCTGGGCTCATAGGATCAGCATAAATGGTGGGGTAGCATGAAAAGTCGAAGATACAGGAATCTTAAAGAGCGCTTGTTTGGAAGTTCATGAGTGATTTCCAAAGGACTCACGCAGACTTTAAAACTGTCGAGGACGTCGGCAACCATGCTGGTAAAGTTGCGATCGTCGGAAGCTAGAACGATTAAATAATCGTCGACGTACCGCAACACTCTTATACTTTGGACGTGTTTAATGATTTTTTTTTTAACTTCCTGTCCTGGTGCGCTAGATAGAGATCGCTGAGGAGAGGGGCAATGCACCATCCGATGCGGACATCTTTCTTCTGTAGGTAGGGGTTACCATTCCAAGTAGCGAAGGTCGACTTGAGGTAGATGTTGATCAAGGTCAAAAACTTACTTTAGGATAAACCCGACGCATATTAAAAGGCAATAGCACCGTAGATGTCTATGCTGTCCTCTATGTACCTCAAGCATCACAACCAGCTCACAAGAGAAATTATCGAGGCAGAGAATATAGCAAAATATAACCACGGGTGTGTTGGTACTCCATCTTTAACCTTATCACAAAGAAAATTAGACTACCTATCCTTACATTAATTTCAATTTAGTTAGCTTTAAATTTAGCTTCATATCGAAATAAAAGAGAAAGGACCAGTTATTCTCTCTGGCCATAACCTATAATACAAAAAAAGAAGAGACGAAAGTGTAAATATACCCGCAAGTTGTCAGTCAGCGATGTGTGTCTCTTTCTTTTGTGTGTGTGTTGACTCGAGTGACTGTTTTGCGGGTGCGCTGTTCTCTCTGTACATCATGGCGCAACGTGTCGGTGTTTTGAAATATGTCAGGGTGTAAAACGTCACCGTGACAAGCTTACACGTGAAATGCTTGAGGCTTTAGAAATATCAAGATTAGATGATTCGTGTATCAGCCGTCCTTCAATTGCCCACTTATGAAATGAGATTGCTTTCCTTACATCATGACTTGCGCTGTGTTGTGCGCATTATTTTTTACGACTTTTCTTGGCGTTTCTTTCAAGGTATGTGTGCTTTTATAGGCTGATCCTTTCTTCCTTCTTTTACTTTTTTATCTTAACTGAGTTTATAAATATGTCGAAGTTTCGACCAGTAACATCTAGTTGTGAGTGAGGGCTGTGTTTGTGTATTTGTTAATTTGCTCCCTCGCCCTTTGTGCTGCTTTGATTTTCAAATACTTCATACCAACTAGCCCAATCATCAACTTTAGTTCTTTTCAGAACAGAATATAAAAGCGTTTTGAATAATTACAGACCCTTTCCACACACCTACTTATCAAGCCATCATCTTTATTTCATATCCGGCACGGTTTTCAGCGTGGCCGTTCGTGCGGGACCCGGTTGGTTTCGAGCAAGTCTTGGATCTCAATAATTCTGTTCACTTGTGCAAGGCCGTTGATGCTCTATTTATTGATTCCGCCATAGCGTTTGATCGCGTTCCTCATCAACGGCTACTACATAAACTGAATAATTATAGCTTATTCACATTTGTAGTGAAATGAATAGCAAACTTCTTAACGACCAGACACCGGTCTATTTTAAATGGTCAAGGTTTTTCCTCCTCCCTTCCTGTCTGATCCGGTGTCCCGCAGACTTCGATACTTGGTCATGCGCTTTTTCTGCTATCTGTCAATGATCTCCATTTTAACATGTAATTCTGAGCTCGTCTGTTCAGAGATGATTGCGCCATTTATCGTTCAATTACAGGTCCTCGGATTATAAAATATTACAGGAAGACTTTTATATAACCTCCGACTGGTGCATCACGTGGTTGATGAAAATATATCCAAACAGAACCAATGCGATAACATTCATCACAAAACGTCATTTAACTTCACACACATACTTAATCGGAAATGACCCTATCAAAAATGTATCTCCATTTAAATATCTTGGCGTTCGTATTTCATCTGATATTACGTCGAACACTCCCATTCAACATATTACTAACAAAACGTCAAAAACTATTGGCTTCCTCAAACGAACACAAATACAAAAAAACAAACCTCTTTGCCTTTACTTCTCTCGTTAGATCCCAACTGCAGTACGCATCCATCATTTGTCATCCTCACCAATCATATCTTGGAGAGAATATATAATCACTGCAAAAGGAAGCCACTCATTTTATAGTTTAGTCTACATAAATAAAGGAAACGATCAATGCAGTTGGTTCTATTTTTGTTTACGCAAATGAAGCCCATTTTGGGTTTATGGAATATTTGATGAGAGGAGGTAGGGGAATATTGAATCGGTATATGTATAATTTTTATTATACGAACCAAACGCATTAAAGCTTCCTTTGACGTAATTCAAGTGCCTTCAGAAATGACCAGGTCAATCATAAAATTACCATCTCGGAAAATTAAAAAAAATTAAAATTATAGAAACAGTGCTTCTCGACTAAATAATATAACATTAGATGCTGACCTACTTTAGAAATACGGCATGAAGTGACAATACTAAATTAAAGGTTATATAATTAATTTCGTATTATGTTGTGGAAATATATTGCTGCAATATTGATTGGGCGAGGGGTCCTGAGAATGCACACTGTCATTTGCGTGCAAAATGCGCGTTTCTCTTGACAACAAGCACTAAGTTTAAAGTGTGTGTAAAATTTGCAAGTGACTTATAAACTCTATTTTGATATCGTGTGTAGACCCTTCTGTTATGCGAACAAGATTAGCTAGTAGGTTCAAAACATCAATCAAAGTGACGCGTCCAAGTAAAAAATTCATCAATTTCCTGTTGCTTTTTTATGATTCGAGTTGCATAAAGCTTTCCAATGCATTCAAAATAGAAATGCTATAAGCAGGACGTCAACGTGAACTCCGTGCTTTATATATTCCTCTTAAGTGTGCTAAAAGTGCACTAGTGCGCCTAATACCCGTTTGTCCAGTTGATGTGGTCGAATCTTTTTCAGCTCGTCTTGTAAATGCTTTACACATGGGTGACACACTTGGTGGCTGCGTGATTATGTTCGGTTACCTTGGGGTGGACGCCTTCTTCTTTGTGAGGTAAGTCGCAGATTACAGACTAGTTCAGGACAAGGGACCGTCGAAATAATGGAACAACTTTCCTCCATTCAAAAAAAGCGGTCGTGCTCTTTTACTTTCTCGTTAAATATAGTCTGACGTTTAATACACATTGAAATATTAATTTAGCAAGTAGGTTAAGCTTCACTTAAGCAACACGCTAAAAGTCTTGTTTCAGCAAACTGTTGTGCAGTGTACATAGAGAATAACGTTCACCACTTCATTTTGTGTGAAAATATGGAAGTGCTTACTCCAAGTATAACACTAAGCCCCTCGGTAATAACGATGATAACAAGATTAGCCGGCGTTGATGGAACCGTTCATTATATCTGCAAACCTGAATGTCAGGATAAATGATTCTGAATATATGCTGCAAGAAAAAATCAACCTCGACGGATTGCATTTGTGATGTAATGCGTTACCACCGAGACCACCACATATTATAATATTATATTGATTTTGATTCTTCAGAGAATAATATTTACTTGATATAACGTACATATTGTGTGTTTTAGTGCAAATATAAGCTAAATGTTCTTGAATACTTCCTAAGTGTTTTGGGCACTTATTTCATTTCTCCTCCCTTCAGCGGTTTCTTGCTTACGTACAACATCAGGAGACAAAAAGGATCTCGCCTGTACATTGGTGTTCTCGCAATCTTTCGGCGCTTCCTCAGGTGAGTGAGGCCATTGAGGAACGAAATCATTCGTTCCTCAATGGCGCAGCAGGTTGCGTGAAAACTCCTGTAGCAAGTTTGTGGTTTACAGAAATATTGCTTGTCTCTACTTCCTATCGCTGCTGTAGATATAGCATGAAACATGCGAGCAATCATTGACAAAGCGGCGTTTCCGTCTTGGTATTCAATCAGCACCAACAACGTTTTGACAACGTGCTTTACTTCCTAAATATTTTGGCAGTTGTAGTAAAAATACCTATGTGAACCCGGTGACCCCTAGCCGCTACTACTAGACGTTCTGTTGTTGTGTTAGCTCGCCGTCAGTCTGACATCCAAATGGCGTCTACACCGTTTATTTCGGCATGGGGTCCCATTGAGAATACAATTGGAATTGCTAATGGCAGAAGCCTGAAAGTCGTCGAAGCCAACATGTGTTACCCCGACAAGAGGCATCTGACCGCAGCTGAGCTAGCAGCAATCTCAGGGAGCATACCGCAACCGCATTAACATGGCAAATGCCTAAAGCTATGAAAGTGCGGCTACATGTGGGCCACTATAAACATCGAAGCAAAGCTGGTGACAACACATTACCGGAGTTCCCTTCTGCCGCCGTGTTTTCATGTGGCTTGCTCCGGTGCCCGTACTTACTAGGCCCTATAGTTTCTGGTGCTTGCCAGTTTATTCTGAAACGTAGTTGGGTGTTGCTAGCTTCCGGCACCTTGCACAAATGACACTGTACGCAGTTTCCGTCTGGCTGTGAAATACTTGCTTCTCTCAGCAGCGAGGCAAATAGTTGGACTAGATTGTGCATGTCGAATGGAAACAAGAAACGACGAAAAATAAACGAGCAGTAAACAGATACGGCGCTGGGTCTGTGTAAAGCGGGGTGTTGGTTTTCTTTGTATTTCTAGTACCTCGTTCATTTTGCGCTGTTTTTGTTTTTCATTTTCTCAGCAGATTACCTAGAAATGACCGCAGTGCAATAAGGACAAGTAGAAGCAACACGTATTCCACTGGCTGTTTGTTTCTGCCACTTGCCTGTTACTTCGGGCGCTCCCATTTCAAGTTACCCTTGTCACCTGAAATAGTTGAAGTATTATATACACTTTCGGCGGATCTGTTTGCAAAGATGTTGCGCAAATAGTACGCGCGCGACTGTCTTCTACAACAATACAAGAGCTTAGCCAATGTCTTAATATATACCGACAAAATATTTTAAATGAGTCATGATATTCATGACTGATTTTGATTTTATTTCGAGGCGTTATTTTTTGCTAGAGTGAGATGGAATGCTAGATCTTCAAGAAGACTAATTTAACTGATTCATTCATACTTCGTGTCAATAACGTTCTCAGTTGGGAGGACCAATTTGACAACATGTCTTAGTAATACGATTTGCAATTTCGTACACTGAAAAAAAAAACTATTGTCGAACAACATTGGCATAGTAGGACCTATTGTGTCAGCTGCATGTCTACCGAAGCCGAATGCCGAATAAATTTTGCAGTCGAAATTTAATATTTACTATAATTTATAACGGGAAACGTTATCCTGGAGCTCCACACGCCGATGTCCTCCGTGCTTATCAATGCCCGTGGCATTTCAGAATCCCGCCTTGTGAATTCAGTTTGCTATTTTAAACGTTTTGACGAACCGACTTTATATCATAGTTATTGATTTATTTTTAACAGTTATGACTTCGTTTACGGTTAATAGCAAATTAAAATAGAGGGTTTCGTTTCTGTTATGGTAACCGAAGCATTTTCGCTCAAAAACGGTTTTCGGTTCAGGTTGCCGTTATAATTTCAATACCTGCTTTTAAGTTTTTTTGTTTTTTTTTTAATTGTGGGCATAAATGACAACAAGCGTTTTTATACGGGCCTGTAGGACATTTCGGTACGATACGTTTCGAGACAGAACGTTTCGGTGCGGACATTCGGTACGAGGTTGCATTGGTAGGCGGCTGTTTCGGGACGTGGTCGTTCCGGTACCGGGCATCTCCATGAATGAATTTTCAATTGATATTTATGGTGAAGGCGTTTTGTTTTAAAATAAATTTTCTCCTTGAAAGCGACGATGGATCGGTGGTTAGTTTGACAGAACGCAGATACACGTGCAATAAACGATTAAAAGCTGATGTTAGATTTACTGTTTACTTATATTTAAGCAGGAACTCTAGCGAGCTTATACAAGTATGTATATTTAAAAAAAAATACAAGAGATCTAAAGCTGTTTTACAAGGCGACAGCTTCAATTTTTGTGATCTTGTGATATCTGGGAATTCGCGAGTTTAAACCCATTAATACAGTGGGAAAAATAAATGTGTTATCCGCTAATTTGAGAGCGGGATTGTTTCTAAGTTTAATTCATGGCAATTTACCATGCAATATATAGGGTGGTCTAAGTCACCAGGCTCGATCTAAAATGGACCTTAAAAATCGATGCCTGCACGTAGCAATCTAAACTTTCCGTCAAAGGTGTGTTTCACAGGCCGATTTTTTCTTGTAAAACTACAACGCGTAGTTCTCTTTCTGTAAAAAATAAGGCCAAGAAGCATGCCAGGGTCTACGGGGGCAGCGACGCAGACGACAGGGGTTCAGTAGCTGGGTGTGTTTGGGGCTCGTATTGATAGGTCGCGCCACCTCCTTATCGCGACGGCTCGCGACCACCGTGGTTTATTAAAAGGAACCTAATCTTTTTAAAATGTATCTTCGGTTAAAAAATAAATGCGGAGAATGAAAGCAAAAGTTAAAGTAAAAAAACGCGTCTGCATATCGGCGGCGCTTTTGCTGCCAACGGATTTCGTCTGCGTGTCGTCTGCCTTCTTCCGCTGGTCGGCTGCACCTTCGGACGCTGCTCCCGATGCTATATATCAATACGAGCAACAAACAGACCCGCTACTGAACTCTTGTCGTCTGCGTCGCTGCCCACCGTAGATCCTGTGATGTACACCTTCGACGAAAAGTTTAGATTGCGCTACGTGCAGGCGTCGATTTTTACGGTTCATTTTAGATCGAGCCTGGAGACTTGGATCACCCTATATACCAAAGTAATTCAGTTAAAACTGAATAGTTGGTATACATATTAACTTGTTTTTATTGGTTTGATTCACGTGAGCTGAACTTTGTAAAAGTAGCGCTTAATTGAACCACGTCTTGTTCCAGTTTTATCTCAGAACAAAGAAGAGTATCATCTAGGCTTTAAAAACGCAATGCAAGTCAATAGAGGCACAACATTTTACTGACGCTGGCGGATGCAGCATGCTATAGTACGCTAGAGCGAAATGTTGGTAGGCAGACCTTTCAGATGCGATCCACGCAGTAGCTGTCGCACGGAATATACGAATTCTCCACTGTTTTGGCAAGCCCCCTGCTCACGTATTGGACCCGAGTACTGCGTCTGCGTCCGGCGAGTGATCCAATCACACGCTGCCTAGCAATCAAATAGTGACCACCAGTGTTGCCTGATCGGGTGGTTTTGGGAAGGGCTTATACCCTTAAGACTTTTCTGTGGAGGAAAAAAAAACTCATATCTGTTTTAAGGTGTAACGAAATACACCCCGTCATAAAATAAAAATTAAAAAAAAATAAAATCTTTAGCGTTCATGTTTCGAAATATATTTACTTCTTTCATCTCCAGAGCCAACGTCGTCGTCTTTTTTGTTTTGATGTGCTACCACCTCGTGCCTCTCATTGCATCGGGTCCCAACTTGAAGCCCATCATGGAAAAATTCTACTACGAGTTTTCGAACCAGTGGTGGCGGCTTCTTATCCAGATTCGTAATTTTAGCAAGGAACAAGAAATAGTAAGTTGATTCAAATGTTCTCTCGAGCAAACGGCCATAATCCAGGGTTGAAACAACACATCGTCAGGACCGCAAAGTGAAGCAATTCGCACAAATTAATTTTCCGTTTCAAGTCTTAACAATATCTTATAATTCGAAATCAGTATAAAATTTGAATCAACTACGCATTTACCATGGAATGTTTGTTGATTTAAATATGTGGATAAGCGACATATATTCTTTGATGCTAGATGCGTTTTTAGACATGGTAAATTAATGTTTAATCCATCCAATCACTGAAAACAACAGAGAAAAAATAAATCAATTTTCATTAAAGTATAGTCTAATTAACAATTTCTATTGACGTGAACACCGCCATGCCGCTTGGTTGTTTTAGTTGGGAAAAACCTTTATTTGCTTTTTCCCCCGTCCTCATTTACTTACATCATGACATTATCTCTTTGCATTTGTTTCTGATATTCTTGCAATAGGATATTACGCAAATGAAAAAAGTGAAAAGTACAAAGCAACTTCGATGAACACTTGGATTTGCCCACAAGATCACTGCTTTTTACTTATTTTCAGCATGCTACGGTGATTTCTTGCTTATATTAATATTTTAATACAAAACCTATGACCATAGAAACCACCTCATGACAAAAAAACTGTGAAGAGTTTGGGGACTACTTACTCACCGGTGTGATTAAAATTACGGCTTAAACCACGATTTATATCATGATTCAAATAATCTTAATTTTTATTATCCATCATAATTGAATATAATTTGTTTTAGTTGTTCGAAATCACTTATCCGCTATTATTTGCACGCTGCTAATTTTTGTTTTCTGTTATCAGGGTTGTTTCGGTCACCTGTGGTACCTTTCCTGTGAGTTCCAACTCTTCCTTATATCTCTGATTGTTCTTCTAGTCCTAAAAAGGTAAGAGTACCTTCATAATCTGTTATTTAGCTTTGTAAAATCATAATTCAACGATCTATTGAAATTCGACAGAACTGCTAATAATTTGTTTCGACCTCATTACTTCTGATTTTCAATGAAAAGGGAGATGACCTTATCAGACATTCATTTAAAAACAAAATCAACTGTCCGTTTTATGTAATGGTTCAGCTAGAACAAATCCTAAACCAGTGCTTTCTTCGTTATTCTCTTTCATGGCCTTGTTTTTAACTCTGAGATGTTGCTGAGAAGATAAAATGGTGAAAAGCAACTTCAGTGAATAGAGAAAATGTTGTTGCTGAAGGCTCATTTAAACCTTCAAAAATGTATGGATGTCAGAGCTGCCTGAAGAAATGGAATTCCGAAAGAAATAGCTGCTCCAGAATGTTGACCGTGACAAAATTAAACTTACCTTAGCTGAGGCTAAAACGCTTAAAACATGCCCAGGTGGTGAACATGCGCACTCTAAGAAGTGCCTGGGCGTCTACTACCCTTAAAACACTCAAAGAGCCAATCTTTGCGATCTGGGAAATCAGTTCAGCGAGTGATGAGGGAGAACATCCGTTTAGACCTAAAAATGAAGGCTGCGCTGTGGCATTACGCAATGCAAAGTGTCATGCTTGCATTGCGTAATACCACACCGCATGCAGAATTAAATTTAAGGTCTCAACAGATGTTCCGCCTCGTCATTCGTTGAGCTGATTTTCTAGATCGGAGAGATCGGCTCTTTGAGTGGTTTGCGGTTAAGTAGACGCGCACACAGTTCTTAGAGTGCAGCAAACGCAATTGCGGACTTCTAATTCGAAACGCACCACCGTGATGTTTTTTTTTTTTTTTTTCTGTTTACATCATGGCATCCGCGTATGAGCGTAATGTTTACTGCACGCTGCAGTGTTTGGCACTCAATCTTCTCTCTGATTGGACACTAAAGATACAAATCTTCCCAGGGGAGTTTGGCTTCCTGTTAATTTGCTGACGACGATATTAGTCACAACAAACCAAAGATACGTGACGAGTTCGGTGCATCAAATCGGTGCATAAAAATCTTAGTATTTGCATTTTTTTCAAGAAATATTGATGGAAAGGATCAGACATAAGTTGAATCTACAATTATAGGTAGACTATTGCTGATCTGTAGGTATGCTACTTGGTTGACATGTTCATTTATAATTTGAGGAAACTTGATAAATATAGTGTTTATCGAGAACACACAAAAACCTCAATTCCAATAAAAATGTTCGTTTCTGGAGATCAGACATTATTCACTGATATTAACATCACCGCGAGAACCTCAGCGGCAGTACACAACTCGCACCAAAAATAAAGTAAATCTACCACCAGTGGGCTGGCTTTTATTTGAGACAACTAAACGTTAGGGCTATACACATAGATATATGGAATGTGGAAATAAATTGAACCTTTTGAACAAAAAAAAACGTATACGCGTTTTTTACTGTTTGCGCAAAGTAGACTCGTTTTCAATAAGGCTTTTCCTCGTGAGTCTACCGTCTCCACATTAAAGTATTTGCGCTGTCGTCATCGGAGCAGGTTACATTGCCCTACGCAGAGAATTATCAGTATTCATTTCGAACCTCACGTTTTTTTTTTACATTTTTGAATGAGTGATGGGTGCTCGAGTGCTCCTTCAGATCCAGGGATGGGCAAAATACATGCAAATATGTATCGAAATACAAATACAAAATACTTCGTCAAAAAATATTTAATTACAAATCTAATTACATTTCCAAAAAGGCATTTAAGTACAAGCTGCAAATACAACCAAATGTATTTGGTCTCCTCCAAATACTTTTCCAAATACATTCCTCAAAATTTGCGTCAGCGACTTCAGGACACCTGCAACGCGTTACTGGGTATCTCATTTTAATTTGGCATCGCACACTCGAGAGTTAGTGTGCGAGGCTCTAGTAACGTAATAGAAATATAATCAGAAAAAATGTAATCAGCTCGGACGTAATAAATGAAAAAAGTACAGAGCTTCAAGCAGCTTTTTTTGACGATTACATTTTGGTATAGACCAACAAAGAACCGAGACAACCAAGGCGCGCAGCTTTAGCTAGAGAATTTTTTATTGTTGCAAGTCGCGCCAGTTACGAAAATCTGGACGACCCGTGCATTTAGAATGTTCCAGGCAAAAATATGGATGGAAATCAGGCGGGAAAGCATCACAAGGTGTCACAGGCACTTATTCAGCCAGTCTGCCTGTGAACGTCGATTTCGTCACTATTCTTGCCCTGGACTAGCACCGTAATCACAAAGTCACCAAACGCTTGTGCTTGATCGAGAGACACTGCATTCGGTGCAGAACGTAGTTTTCTTCCTGCTCTGGACAGTGACAATAAATTTGAGGGATGTATTTTCGCCCACAAAATTGTATTTAATTACTATTGTATTTGAAATACCTACGTTTTAGTATTTAAATACACACGTCAAATACATTACCCAATTTGTAATTAAATACAAATGCAAAATACACAAAGTATTTGAAATACGTATTTCCAATACTTGTATTTGAAATACTGCCCATCCCTGTTCAGATCTCACTTATGATATTCAAGCCCCGGCCAAAACTGTTTTCGACCAGCGGAGAAAACAAACGCCGGGAGTAAGTCGTCTGCTTTTTGCAGCAGGGCTGCGGTGATGTCAGAACGCCGAGCTGTTATTAGCAGATAAAAACAAATAGTGGGTAGATTTCAAGGCATCTAGCATTGAGGTCTACCCACTATCTTTTCCATCAAAGCCAATCAGAGCACGGCGTCGTTCTGACGTCACTGCAACTCCTGAGCAAGAAGCAGACGGCTTGCTCTCCGCATAGAATTCAGCACATATCAGAAGCATGCGAATTGCGCTGAAGTTTGTCTGATACACGGGTAGCTCCTGCCTTCGGATGAACATTATTTATTTATTTATTTATATCGGTACCCTAAGGACCCTACGGTATTACAGAGCGGAGGGGCAAATACAGTACAAAATTCAGCAAAACCAAAATCGGATAACAAACGATGTAAAACATAGGCAGTAAAGGTTAGTATCAGGGAAAATGATTGGTTATTGCAGTTTTTAACAAATCAGGTGGTGGTATGAACACTAAAGATGCGGGAGGGTAGTCCCACTGCGAAGACATTCTTGGTATACGCTTTAAAAAAAAGTTTGTGCGTCTACTTTCAGGCACCGCACAACACTCGAAGAGCCAATAACCGGAACTTTCGGAGGCAGCTCAGCGAATGACGATGCCGAAACATATGTTTAGACCGAAAAATGCAGTCTGAGTTGTGACATTAAGCAATGCAAAACGTCACGTTTGCATTGCTTAATGTCACATCTCAGACTGCGTTTTTTTGTCTAAACACTTGTTTCGGCAGTGTCATTCGCTGAGCTGCCTCCGTAAGTTGCGGTGGTCGGCTCTCAAAGTGTTGTGCGTGAAAGTAAACGCACAAACGTTTTTTAGAGTGTGGAGCAAATAACCGAAATCCCACGGCAATGCCACGGCAGCCCGTTTCTTTTTGCCTCATATATAGATATGGCGCCTACATTGACTGAGTTTTCTATGGGCCGAGAGACTGAGCGGCTCTTTCGTTGCCATGCCTACTTCCGTTACACTTCGCTCCATACACGGAGCATACGGACGCCACCTCCCGGCCGCCATAATCTCATTGGATCGCACACCCGATACGAAGCACGGATGTCTGTTTATCTCGTCGTCGAAGAACCTCGGTGTAAGATTCCGTAGCACCACCGAACGTCAGCAAACAATGCTCACTGAAAAAGCCTTACGCGTGAAAGAACTGTTAGAGCGTGAGAATTGCGTTTATTTTGGGTAAATGACGAGGACAAGAAACTGACCCTGCGCTAGTCTGCAGTTGTAAGCTGTAGTGTTATACTGAATTTCAAGTTCAACCGCAGGCGATCCCTTCTCTCCAATGGAGCCAATATGCGGCCTCAATCGCCCACCGCCAAAGCGCTCGTCGCCTTTGAGTGTTTCCCATAATCGGCTAAAACATTCATGAGCAGAAAGAAAGCACAGGATTGGGACGCATTTAGTGAGCGCGATTGGTTTTCGTGGTGATAGCGAGCGTACAAAGACGATGAGCAGCATCACGATACACTTTTGGAGCTCCCGACTTTTGCTCAATGCAATCATAGCGTCAACCGCGGTCAGACGAACAGTGAAATAAGTATACTAAATATTAAGTGTGAGCAGCGTTTGTGTCCTTGTCAGAATATATTTCTTGGCGTTCGGGTCAAACTTTTGTCGAGTGCCTTACGAGACTCATAACGAACGTCCTGTTTATGTTTTCGTGTTGTTGGCCAACAGGTCCACCAGGCTGACCATAGCGGCTTTTGTGGCACTGTCGATAGGCGGGTCTACCGTGAATGCGTGGCAGGTGTATAATACACATTACGGTGCTTTTCTGACACCTCTCAGCACGAGCTTTGGGTGAGTACTTTGTTTTACTTGAACTTATGCTCATTGGTACTTCATGTTTTTGGGTGTGCTGACAAAACGATGAACCCTCTCTTTTTAGCGACGCCTAACAAAGCGGAGGTTTCAACTCTCACGCGGTGTTTAATGGTTTCTTTCTGTACATGTGTGTCGTGTCTAAAGTTACTTCGTGCGATCGTCGTAGAACATGGGGAAATATATGTTATGGGTATAAAACAGAGTATGTTATTCTATTATAAACATATTACAATATCAACGCTGCTATTTCAAATAGGTATGCAACTTTGCATGCTGTTCATGTATCACTTCTGTCTACTTTTCCTCAACAAATTATGTGAATTTTTCCTCTCAAGTCAAAATAAACTGTATTGGGCGCGTACCCACTCGTCTGCAAACTTTCGTTGGTTCGTGCATGTCCCAACCACCGCCATCATTGCGATGAAACCTCTCTTTGTTGTTACGATCGCATGGTGCCTGCACACCAGAATGATTGCTCATGAAAACCTTGTATGGAGGAAACAGCGCTACAAGACATAGGACCAGGACGAGAAAACACATAGAGAGGGCGCTGACTTGCAACTAAAAGTTTATTGCTCTGCTACAACAGACATAAACTCGGAAAGGGGAAAGAACGGAGAACAAAAAGAGTAAACCGATAACATCCGGGATCAGCCACGCCTACTTACGGCCACACAAACCAGACGTTTTAATGAAATCTACTTCGTCACCCACACGGCCAACAGAAGGAGCGCTCACGCACGAGTCCACCCCGCGAGTCGACATAAAATATGCTTCGTCCATCTCTCTCGCCGTCTTGTTTTTGTTTCAAAAGCCTTCCTTAGGAAACTTTTAGTTTTGCGTTGCGCCGTGTGTTTGTCACGGTTATCGCCAGTTTGGAGTGAAAGGTTAATAACTTATTTTTCGTGCATTTTTTGCTTTTGTGCCATTTAAGTTCTGAGTATGGCAAAAGTCCTGTACATTAAATTAGTGTGGTAAACATCCTACGTTTCTCGAGTCCTTCTAAATAAAATCTATTGTTTTATTTTACTCGAATCGCGCTTCTACATACGCGGAACAATGCACGACATTTGCCTCTTTCCAGCATTTTCTTGACAAAGGCAGTAGTAACACAGTGTGTATTTGCGTTGCTTCGTGGTGAAGTTTCTAACTGGAAACTTGCTACGCATTATATGCGTTGACGTCCCGAACGTATTCGTTAGCAGCGTCTGACAAAAAGCCCTTCCAAAGCTTGTTCCCAAGCAGCCGTAGGATGCAGATTTTGAGGTTCTTGCGGTCGACAAACTCCCAATTTGTCCTTGCTGCCAGGCGGCGTCTCCATATCTCCTCCGAAGCCGGTGCTTCTTCTCCTCTCCCTCGGCTCCTGCGTTGCCAACACCACCTAGAGTAATCTCTACCTTTACGTAACGTAATCACACTCGGATCGCAACAAGTTTTTGTGGTTGGCCTAGTGTTCAGTCGATGCGTCCTTTATCTGGACACGATGCTCAGCCGAACGCAGCTCATGTTTCCAATCTATGCCCGCTCTCGGTCCCACTGTGATGATGTCAAAATGGCAGCGCACAGGTCTTGACCAAGCCTCCTCTATACTCACAAAGCCTGGCAGTTCGACGACGGAGCCATAGAGTGCTCGGTCCCAGATTTGGAGAGCGAGTATCTGGTAGCACAGAGCATTTCTCGCTGAACCTGGTCGTCAACGCACAGTTTTTTTATGCGGCGAGGGCCCGAAACATGGTTTTCAAACCCGGCGAGAAAAGAAGCTGTAGCGCGAGGAACGCAAAAAGCACGAGCGGACATTCCATCGCTCGGGAAAAGTGTGTTTCGGCGTTTCGCAGCAACGGGGCGCCCGTTAAATTGCTTTCCTCTCATCCGTTGTCTGCCGCTCTACATTTTCCCTTTCGGTTGCCGCGTCTCGTGACGATCTGCCAGGCTTCGTGAGTGTAGAGGAGGCTATGGTTTTGTCCGAACGCACCAAACGCTTCGACCACCCCAAAACGCGTACTACTACTACTACTCGATCCTACAGAGCCAAGCAAGGAAAGCGAAAAAGGCTTTGACACGGCGCCCATTTCCCTCGTGTTTTGCTATTACCGAGCTGGACAATCACACGCACAAACAAGGGCAGCATGTGCGGGTTCGCCGACACTTTCGCCGAGACGATGCACCTTCGTTGTTAACCGACCGTCTTCATTACAGCCGTAACGTCCTCTGCGCTTCGACCTACGCTTCATTTCAGCTCAAATCCAGATGCAGCCGACGTGACGAGGTGATGGTACAAATCAAGCAGCGTCAGAAACTCAAGTAACTGGGCCTTTTATGTCTATGATTGGTTTAGCGTTGGTGCATAACGTATAAAAACATTAGGAACACCATGACGAATCCGATGATGGCGCGTTTTTGACGCTGTATGATTTGGTCCATCACTTCGTTGCGTCGGCTGCGTCTGTACTTAATGTGAAACGAAGCATAGCTTGAAATGGAAGATAACACAGTCATCTACAAGTGTACAATTCACAACCAGAGGCTACGAGTTTAAGAACGGAAGGCTTGCACGCTTTTCTTGTTGCATTGCTATTATATACTAGTTATGTGTAATCGCCTGTGTTAAATAGTGCGTTGCAAGAATGTGCGTTGCATGAACCTGCTTCAAAACACGCAGGACAGAGCCAGCCGTATACCAGAAAGTTTGTATACTACAATCATATTACAATTTTTGTAAGCAATAAGAATAAATAGGACCTTAGTGTATAAACATTATGTATTAATAGGCGGTAATTACTCTATAAAATAGTAATGGTTGGGTCTGTGCGGCAAGAACGAAAGGGATATCAAAGTTGTCTGGAGAGTTTGCCATAAGGAGATCAATGTTTTCAAAACGGAAGTTTTGACACTCCTTAAAGAAAGTAACTTATTGTTAAGAGTACCACTGTCCAAATGTCGCGAGTCATCGACAGCACTTTTCAATTAATTTTTTTGTTCGTGATTCTAGTTGTTGAGTTTAGTCAGTGAAATTCAAGAGTTCCCAGAAAGCTCCTCTCAGATGCGTTAAGCCAACACTTCAGAGCAGTCTGCTTTCAAGAAAATACTTGCGTTGAAGCGCCAGTGTGTATCGTCTGTTTTAAGTATTAAGTTCTGGCGTGACCGAAGGAAGCACTACCTTCTATAGATCGTGAGTGGCAGCATCGCCTTCGGTCGGCATAGTTAAGCCCCAGTCGCGGAGACAAGCAACGAATCCGCAGGAACGCGCGGCGAGACTACAGGCACATATGCCGACGATGAGAGGACCCCCTCCCAACGAGCGTCGGCCGATTGCGAGATCAGCGGCATTCGCTATTTGTATATCGGCTGAACCCATAACCGCTCTAGATTACTGCAAGTTTATATAGCCGGATGTTGATGGCTGATCCTCCCGCAACCGGTTCGCGTTTGCTTCAAGTGGTTTATCTCAACACAGGCTTGACGTGCACTTCTAGTGAGAGACACCACACTCTTGCTGGTGCTTTGGCTTTGTCCGTGACAATACCTGCAGGCCTCTCAGAAGAGGGCACATGGGCTTTTATCCTCGGCGAGTCATATATGGCTGAACGAATCCCGGACAAAAGCTCACCGGACAAAAGCTCACCCATTTTTTCACAGACCCGGACAAAAGCTCACCCATATTTTCAGAGACCCGGACAAAAGCTCACCACGAGAAAATTTCATGTTGGTCTTAACACGAGTGCGGACAACTTAGGTGCAAGCGTGCGACACAAAAAGGCAACGATGAATTAAATCTGACAGTCGCATGGTTTGTTGATTTTAGTAGAAACAAGTTTATTTACGATGGTTAGAAGCGAATGCAGTCCCCCATTAGCTCCAGCAGTCTTGGTAGATCTCGATGTAAATGCAAGCCCTCACAAATATTTCTAAAACGATTCTGCAGGTGCAGAGTAATTTTTCGCACCCGCTTTACGGTGGGCTCACCTCTCCGGGCTCTTTTCAATGCCGTGGCAACGAGCGCCTGATTTTGCTGTAGGCGTTCAATCAGCCTCAAGAAGCTTGGATGGGCGTGGCCGACGAGCTTCTGGAACCCGGTACTCTTTCTTTCGGAGGTGTTGCTCATCTGGTCTTTATCTTGAAGAGTGGTGTCGTACATATTTCACCGTACCGGGGGAAACTCCGGTCGCCGTCGGTGCAGAGTCAGGCGAAGGGAAGAATTCCCTCTGGGTGCCGCCGCAGATGGAACAGAAGCATAACGGAAGCGGTCGTTGAAATACGTGCAATCAAAATAGTTCAGCAGGTAGCCGATGTCACCGGTAGACTATTCCCTGGTAGTTAGTTCCTGTGGAACAAGCTGTGGTGTAAGGAACCCGAGCCTATCTAAAATCCCGCACAACTTTTTTTTTTAAATTGGTCATCTGTCTTGTAATTTTCCAAAAGGCCGAACTCCCGCTCTTTCAAAGTATTTTTTAAAAAAATTCGCAACTCAATGGTGGATGAGGTACAAGTTCTCCTAAAAACGGTCCAATGTCCATTGCGTCCGCACTTTATTTCAGCCCGTGTTTCGCCCGGGTAGGAAAAAAAAAAGAAATCGAGGTGAGCTTTTGCCCGGGTCTGTCAAAAAAGGGGTGACCTTTTGTCCGGGTCTGTCAAAAAACGGGTGAGCTTTTGTCCGGTTACCGGCTGAACGGCACACGTTTGAAAGGTTTGGGTGAAGACGACTTGTTCGTCGTGCAAAAAAAGTCAAATTGGACGTTTAGTGATTTATACAGCGTAAGGTCGGTCTGCCAGGATGGGGCGACACTGATTTACACTGTAGATGAGCAATTTTGCCAGGTAAGACCCCAGGTTAGCCATACTTCTAACCTGAGGTCTTTTGCGTGCTCACGCTGTAGTGATACACGACCGCACGCCAGTACGATGCTCATTCAGATCGAAACGGGCAGGGATGGAACTCGAACCCAGGATCCCTGGGTTCTGCAGCGCGAGCTTTCGCT